CTTGGTTCCTATCTTCGCGCTTGGACTTTGCTTTGATATCTTGGGTCTTCTCTTGTGCTTCTAAGGTCTTGCTTATGGTGTTGATCATCGGATCATCACGTCACCTTTGTCCAAGTCACGTCTTGCATCCTATTGAACTATAAAACAATTACTTGTAAATTTATTAGTCCAATTTGGTTGTGTTAGTCATCAAACACTAAAATCCAAAGTAAATGGACCAAGGGTCCATTTTCCTTACAGCGGCATTTGCTGATGTAGGGTGCACCACACCATCAAGGCAACCTCAACCTCTAAGAATACGCGGCTAGATGAGTACACGAATTCATTTCTTTATTCTAACGCTCAACTCTGCATAATTTCTAATCATATTGCTTTTTTGCAGTCGGCGTCACATGGTGGCGAGCCTTGCTCCCAGTTCGCGGCATATGCTTTGGCCCACAAAGGGGAAGGCGACGTCCGATGTCGCCTACAACCTGGAGGACCCGCCCTCGGCGTACAGCAAGTCCGTCCACAGCCATCTCGATGGATACACGTCGATGGCAAGGCAGGTCCATGGCCTAGAGTACGATCCGAGCGCCCATGACCTTGATGGAGATGTGGTCATGAGGGCGGAAGGAGGCAAGAAGCATGGCTGGTTCTGGATTGGCGACGACACCATCGACACGACCAGTACTCCCACTCTCTCCTAGATTCGAGCACGGAGCACGGGTTCCAGTCCGGCGATACGCCCACGGTCGGACTCTACACGGTTCTAGATGAACGCACTCCAGGTTATTTCTGTTTTATTCATCGTTCATTGATTTTTACATACTTTTGCATTGCATTGTAACATTGGGATGAAATATTATAGGCTCCGCTAGAACAAGAAACGAGGCGCCAGGAGGAGCTAGAGGCGAAGATGGAGCCAGAGCGGCTGAGGATGGAGGCAAAGCGGCAGAGGATGGAGCTGCAGAAGTTTGAATATATGAGGGGTGTTTATGCTGTAATCGGTCAACCTCCACCACCGTTTCCAGTCCCTCCTCCCCAACCTGCTCTAAATACTGTTTCAGGCACCGTGAGTCACTTTACAACCTTATAATCTACTTTATGCAGAATTAATCTTACAAAAATACCAAGACAGTAGAAACTTAGTGACTAATGCTATATGTTTGTTACCAACTAGTACTTAAGCAATCATACTAGAGTACAATGCAACTGAGAAGATATTGCTAATAGTTGTAAGGGTTATACTAGTTAGGCAGCAGAGAGACCATACGTGTTGTTTAATCTTGTCTCACACATGCAATCTCTTCTCCTTTGTGCAGCATCAATCGGAGGCATCGAATGAGCCTCATGATCCAGCCATGTCGCAGTGGAACTCGTGGCCTAAGTGACTACTTGTGATTTTATTTGTATTTGCATTTGTGGATTACTTGTGACTACTCGTGGTTGTGAATGAACCTACTTGTGATTCCGAAGTTTATTTGTATTTATGTGTTGTCGATATATCTATATGAACTGCCTGTGATGCCTATTGTGAACTATCTGTGATGGATGTGATGTTTATTTGAATGTGGTACGTGGCTGTGACCGAATCTAATAAACTGATTATTTGTGACAGCTTTGTCGAGTGTAACACTCGGCAAAGAGGCCTTTTGCCGAGTGCCAGAGTTAAAACACTCGGCAAAGTGTACACATGGCAAAATTCTGTGCATTCTGGGACTAAAATGGCTTTTTTACCGAGTGTCTGCGCTATGACACTCGGCAAAGAAGTCAAAATTCTGTGTCATGAGAAAGCGTTTGCCGAGTGCCTGGACTGGGACACACGACAAAGAAGCAAAGTTTGCCGAGTGCCTGGACTGGGACACACGGCAAAGAGGCAAAGTTTGCCGAGTGCCTGGACTGGGACACACGGCAAAGAAGCAATGTTTGCCGAGTTCCTAGGCTGGGACACACGGCAAAGGAGGAAGTGTTTGCCGAGTGCCTGGACTGGGACACACGGCAAAGAAGCAAAGTTTGCCGAGTGCCTAGAATTTAACACTCGGCAAATTAGGAATATTTGCCAAGTGCCCGAGATTTGACACTCGGCAAACAGGCCGTGACCGTCTCCTCTCCGTCATGTTACTTTTTTCGCCGAGCGTCGGTTTTAGCTCTCGGCAAAGCCTTTGCCGAGTGCCCGATAAAAAACACTCGGCAAAGAGCCGTTTGCCGGCACTGTAGATGTCGTGTGCTCTTTGCCGAGTGTTGCACTTGGTAAATCCTTTGCCGAGTGTTTTTTGGGCTTTACCGAGTGCCTGTGACACTAGGCAAAGCGACTGTTTCCGGTAGTGCTAATAGCCATACAACAGAATCATCAACAGAACTTAGATGAAAATTAGAAGCATCTCTCTATATCGCCTCCCAGGCCATTCTCAATTCCTCGTACAACCATCTTCTAAAGGTAATCGGGACTCCCCCTAAAGCATGTGCCACAGTGATATTTTTGTTTTCACATAACTCAAAAAGAATAGGAGCAGTCACATATAAAGGCTCATTATATAGCCAGGGATCAAACCAAAACCTAGTTAAGCTTCCATTACCTATAGACAAACCTCTCCCTTGGAGATAAATGTTTTTGATCTTGAGCAAATCATACCACATGGGGGAGTCATTAAGCTTGTGTTTCACTTCCTGAATTGTTAGGTTTTTCAGATATTTGAACTTAATGATTTGTTGCCATAAGCCTTCTTCCTTTTCTAGTTTCCACCACCATTTACCCAACAAGCTAATATTCATATTCCTCAAATCCTTAATCCCCAGTCCACCTTTCTTTTTTACTTTTACAAATAATCTCCCATTTAACAAGATGGTATTTCTTTTTTGTTCCACCCCCTTGCCAAAAAAAAGGTTCTTCTGATTTTATCAAGACACTTCACAGTGGTTTTAGGCAAGAGGTAGACCGTGCATGCTTTTGTGTCCAAATTATTAGTCATATGATCAAAATCTCACCATGTCTGAGTACCAGCTAAGGATTGTTGTGTGTGTTTGGTCCAATTGGCCGGCTTCAGCGATGGCTCTTTGATTTACTCCAGGTTCCAGCTTTGTTCCACCGGAGAGCTCTTGCATACGGGCATTCGGTGAACAGGTCGATGAAGCGCCGTTTCCAAGTTCCGAAAGCAAAGGGGGCACAAGTAGTTGTTCTCCCTCCCAGTCCCAGCCTCGTTGTTGCCGTCTGTCCGAAGTCCGTTGCCGATTTCGCAGCAGTAACCAGAGAAAAAACTTGCAAGTTGCAACACGCTGTGGCGCCCAATGTTTCCAACAAATCAATCAGCGACGGGAATTTGGAAATGTGCGACCTTCAAGCTGGATACAGTATGATCCCTCTGCCTTGTAGGTCCAGGAGGTGATCTGGTCCTCCTGCTCGCTTCCTAGGTCCAAATATCTGAAAAAGGAGGTTTGACGTGAACCTGTCAGAGTCGACAACGACACTACTGCTGCTGCTGGCTGCTCCGCTCATCAGAACGGGTTTGGTCGCCGACCGACTGGCGCTCGCGAGCACAGAGAACGGGAGGGGTGGGCCGGCGCGGCGGTGCCACTCTACGGCCCAACGCGGGCCCAGTAGGAGCTAGGCAGCCTCGTGAGCGGAAACGGGCATGCGATGTGATGCCTTGCGTGTACTGTCAGCCGTCTGTCCGTTTGACGTGAAACGCGGGCCAGAAAATCGTTGACAAGGCCCAAAGTAGTGTGCCAATGAGGCCAACCCAATTTACGAGTGCTTGGGAGCAGTTTCTGCTAACTGACTCCGAAACTTCAATCTTACGGCGGCTCGGCGTCCGGGCGCTCCTGGCTGCGGAAGGGGGAGCACCTGCGGCGGCGGCGGCGGGTGGTGTCCGTTAAGGGAGGGGAGAGAGCCGGTGGCGGCGATGTGCAGGATCTCGCGCTGCCTCTCGGGATGTCCTTCGCCGCGGTGCTTGCCCAGGTGAGCGGGATGTGTCTTGCCTCTTTCCTTCTCTTCTTGTCTAGGCAGCGGCGACCCAAAGATTCAATCTTTACGCCCTTCGTGCGATCCAGCTTGCCTTGCTATGTTTGCATGGTTAGAATTTTGTGCGAGCGTTCGCAAGAATATGTAGTTGGTTACTACATATTGTGGTTATTTGGCTCTCCCAGTGGCGCTTCCATTGTGTCACAGTATCTCAAGACCCAGCTGCTCTGATCTTTAATGGAGTTTGTGACTGCATAATGTTCTACCAAACATGAGGTGCTGCTCAAGCGGAGCCACTGAAGATTTCTATTTTATTCAGTGCAAAATTGATGAGTTCTGTCGAACTTGGGATAATGCTGTTTGAAGCCTCAATTCAAATGGACAGAATGTGTAAGAATTTTGAACTGTTCAGTTCCGATTGGGGGAAAAGTATAGGAACTGTATACTTGTATATACTTTCTATAAAAGCCGGGTTACCTCTGTAAAAAAAAAGTAAAGGAACTTTGGATGAATCAGATCCTACTATTCTTGCTGGCTCATGAAAGATTATTTTTGGCTGTTCAGTTCAGAACTTGCCATATGAATGCACCACATAGCTAAAGGGCTGGTGACGACATACTTTGATTTTTAATGCTTATCTTGATTATGGTCCTGTTTGACTTATGTTCTGTTGTTAACTGTTATTTTTGTTTTTAAAAATAAATTCTATGAGTTTGAATCTTAAGCACTGCATGCTTCTTTATATCAAGGTGTAAAGGTATGAGCATCTCATCCTAATATTCTAATTGATAGTGCGTGCTGGAATGTTTGCTACTTATATTTTTGGCCTAATAGGAGGAAGTACATTCTATCAGTAACTCAAATTGTGCAATTAGTGAAATGATTTTCGGTGGATCTACTTGGGGAAACACCAATCAGATTAAAAAACTAACACCTCCTTCTCTTACAGGTTCTAAATAGATGCAGTGGTTCTGAAGGAAGATTAGGACCTGATGTCCTCTCAAAGGTACATATGCTGTCTTCAGTCTTCTCGTAAATGATTGCTGTTTGGAACAAAACCATGGATGTCTCACACCAATTCTGGATGCAGATGTGTACCTCGGCAGTGAAGGAGTCCTTAACAAATGTATGAGCAGGCCGGTTTCTTTTTTACTACTCTGTTTCCGCTTCCCATAAGCTTCTTATATCTCTTTTTTTTTGTGGTGTAGATTTATGGTGACAAATTTCAGAGTTTCATGAGCAACTTTGAGAAAGCTTTTGGTAGTACACTGAGAACCATTCACCTTATCAATGAAACACCTGTCTATGAGCAAGATATGGCGCAATGTTCTTACAAAGATGGTAATTCTGTACCTGATGAAATCAAGTTGGGTGGTGCTGATTCATTACCTGAAATAAAGTTGGGTGGTGCTGATTCACAAAGTAAGATACATGATGTCCAGACTGACATGCCCCGAGTTCCATGAATAATCAGATTGTTCTTCATGCGGGCGTCAATCATCAGCTGGTTCACCTTACTCGTAGCAGATCTAATCCAGAAATTGATCAGCAGTGTATTTGAGAGATCTCTGAATGAGCAAGCTCGTTCAAATGAGCTCAAGGAGCTTGTAATAGGACTTACTATGAGAAAATTGCAATTGAGCCGATCTCAGTTAGCTCTGAGCTCCGATTCACACATGTTAGAGAAGATCAAAGTTCTGATGGGATTTCAGAAAGCCTCTTTCAAAGAGAAGAAATTCAAGACTGAAATGGAGGATACAAAACATGCAGAACTTTTCAGGAAACTTATAGATATGCTTCTTACTGCAGTGGTACTCATGTCTGTCTGTTTTGGATATGGAACATATATTTACTCGTACCAGCGTATAACTGCTGCTACTTCAGCCTGTGCAGCAATTTCAAGGGTATGTACCACATTTTTCCGATACAAATTAGCTGTTTCCAGTGTCATTGTTGAGAAGCTCATATCATGTGCTCCCTTTTCTTGCAGGAGTATACATCTTGGTGGATGCCAAGTTCAGTGTCAGCATTCAACTCTGGTTTGTTGCTTTTCAAATGCCATGTGATAGCAGCAACAAGGATATTCTTTGGAATTTTGATGCTCCTATTAATTGGTTGGTTGATATTCCAGCGTTCTGCAATGACTGGACCAAACATGCCAGTAACATTCAATGTTATGATATTGGGAGTTCTTTGTGGTTATTTTGGAAGCCGTTGTGTCGACACACTGGGCGGGGATGGAAATGTATGGCTTATATACTGGGAGGCCCTTTGCTCCATCCATTTACTTGGAAACATTTGGCCATCTCTTTTACATCGCATGCTCTATGGTCCTATTTCTGTGACTCACAGGACCAAGGCTGTTCATTTACCATATTGGGCCCGCCGATACACATTTTATGTTTTGGTGTCACTTATTCTGCCATGCTTGGCTGGTTTGCTGCCATTTGCATCTGTCAGACTGGAAAGATCTAGCAGTTCAACATTTGAAGTCCAGATTCAGTGGAAGTAACATTGAGGATTGATTATTGAGAGATTGGTTGTGGTTATCGGTGTAAGCTCAAACCCTTTTTGCGAAGGTGTAAAGGCTTTTGCAGTTTTAGCCACTGTTGTCCATTAGGACCATATATGAATTGGATTTCAGTGTAGCAAAGGAGGAAAGCTATTTTGTTTGGCTTCCTTTCATCCTCGGACCGAAGATATGTAAACAGAGTTATTGGAATGACAAGAAAATCTCTCCTTGTGAAATATCAGATGGGCCAGGTTCTGTAGTTGTGCTCCTATGTGCACCACTACCGATACCAAGAGCAAGACGCTTCATATCGCCTATGTAATTTATTGTTACCAGGAAGCTTATAAATATAATTAGTCTCTGCAGTTTCATTGCATATCTTTTGTGGCTCTTTTGTGCACGGACATTTTCAACAGTGATTGGAATTTGATGATTTACCTTCCCTTCTCCATGGTCTAGGTGGTCTCCTCATCCCATTAGTGTTCTTCAGTGGGAATCGACTCCCACATGAAAGTTTTGCTTGCACATAGTTCTTCAGATGCATGTATGTTGTAAAGGGGCTCAGAAGCTCAATGTATCATTTGTATTTATTTGTACACATTATTTGGATTTGTTATGTGTACAGCAGTGATGTACGGTGATATAGATCTGTAAAGAGTTGCTGCAGCATCAATTATATGTATCAGTTCTCAACAGAACTTGCTTTTGTTTGTGCAATGCTCTCATTCAGAATAAGTGGAGTTAAAAACTGTGTGGTCAAATTATTTTTACTGTGGCCTATAATGGCTTTATAGATGCTTATTAAACTGGCCATATGAAATGGCATGTGCAAGTTTGTCTTGAAATTTGAAAATAATTTTTTTAAAAAAAAAATCACGTCATGGCTGGAAATCTGGAACTGGATGACACGGGGGTCTCCCGCGTTGGTTCAGGCGGTGCTCGAGGAAAAAACTAAGCAGAAACATGGCTGTGGCCGCGGCTCCGTCTCTCGCCCTTCCCCCACCTCCGCGCTCCACCAAAGAATCCCAACGCGCACCCCGCCATGCGCCGCGGGACGTTGTCTCCTGGACGTCCACCATCGCGCGCGCGGCGCGACAGGGTGACCTGCATGCGGCGGCTGCGTCTCTCTGCGCTATGCTCTCCTCCCCCGCTGCGCCGGCTCCGAACGACGTCACGCTGCTTACCGTCCTCTCCGCCTGCGCCGGCTCCCCATCCTCGCCACTAGCCCGCCCCCTCGCCCTCACCCTCCACGCCCGCGCGCTCAAGCTATTCCCCTCCCACCTCCTCCTCTGCACCTGCCTCGAGCGGTTCTACCTCGCGTCCCGCCTCCCGCACCTCGCGCTCCAGCTGTTCGACACAATGCCTGTCCGCTCCGTCGTCACCTACAACACTATGATCTCCGGGCTTATGCGGAACGGCCTCGTGGACGCGGCGTTCGAGGTGTTCGACGGGATGCCCGGCCCGGACAAGGTCTCATGGACGGCGCTCATCGACGGGTTCGTCAAGAACGGGCGCCATGACGAGGCCATCGACTGCTTCCGCGCCATGCTGCTGGACGGCGTCAAGCCAGACTACATCACGTTGATGGCCGTCGTATCTGCATGCGCGGAGGTAGGCGCGCTCGGGCTCGGGATGTGGGTGCACCGGCTCGTGCTCAGGCAGGGATTGGAGCGCAATGTCCGCGTTGCCAACTCGCTGATCGACATGTACGCGCGGTGCGGACAGGTGAACCTCGCAGCGCAGGTGTTCCGCTCCATTAGGAAGCGGACGGTGGTCTCCTGGAACTCGATGATCGTCGGGTTCGCAGCCAATGGCCGATGCACGGACGCGATCGAGCTCTTCGAGGAGATGCGGAGGCAGGGGTTCAAGCCGGACGCGGTGACGCTCACCGGCGTCCTCACGGCTTGCAGCCATGCCGGTCTCACTGAGCACGGCCTGAGGTACTACGACCTCATGACGACAGAGTACGGTGTCGCTGCGCGGATGGAGCACTACGGGTGCGTGGTCGACCTGCTCGGCCGTGCCGGGCAATTGGACGAGGCGATGCACGTGGTGGAGACGATGCCGATGCGACCCAACGAGGTGGTGCTCGGGGCACTCCTCGCGGGCTGCCGGATGCACGGCGACCTGGACATGGCCGAGCAGCTGATGCAGCACCTCTTCGAGCTAGACCCCGGGGGCGACGCCAACTACGTGCTGCTTTCCAACATCTACGCGGCCGTCGGGAAGTGGGACGGCGCGGGGAAGGTCCGAAGCCTGATGAAAGCGCGCGGGGTGAAGAAACGGCCGGGGCACAGCACCGTGGAGATCGATGGCGATGTGCACGAGTTCGTGTCGAGCGATCGGTCCCATCTGCAGGCCGAGGAGATCGGCCAGATGCTTGGGCTACTGAGGCACGAGATGGCAATGTATGTTTGTGATGATCATGGAAGCAGCAGCTTGGATGGGGATTGAGCTGCTAGGACTGCAAGAATATGGAAGATGCAATACTTCAAGGCAGCACCACAGGGTTCAAAGTTTTGCCTGTGCCTGTGGATTGCCCTCTCTGTAAATGTGGTACTTTGCTGGTCCAACAGACGAGAATTTTTTTATTATTTTTAACCTTTTTTCTAAAACAAATTCCAAATCTAACACGGTTGTTTTTTTTTATTTTCACATCTAATACTTTTGGCCACGCCAAAGTCCGTACCGCGGCCAAACACGCAGCCGCACCACATACATCGGCGCGTCATGATCTGCCGCGTTGGACAGCGATTTCCACGTGGAAATCATTGCCGCGCCACGGCCGTTGGCACGTCAGCACTGTAGCGCCACGCCATCCAGACGGGCGCGGCAAGGCGCAACCTTAGAAAATTGTATCTTTTTCATACGATATCGGATGAAGATGATTTTTATATGAAAATTATAGCTCTCGACGAGATCTAAAACTTTCTAATTTTAAGTTTTTTCATTTGAGGTCGTTAAGATACTAAAAAATTAAACAAAGTTTCAGCAGTATATTAATCGTGTACAAACGCTTGTCGTCTTGGAAAAATCATATCATTCTTACGTGGTGTCAAATGGAGATACTTTTTCTATGAAAGTTGTAGCCCTAGATGAGATCTACAAATTTATAGTTTTGAGTTTTTGCATTTGAGATCATTAAGATGCTCAAGAAAAATAATATAAAGTTTCAGCATCATATTAATCGTGTACATGCACTTGTCGTGGTGTCAAATGGAGATATTTTCTATATGAAAATTATAGCTCTTGGTGGGATCTATAAATTTATAGTTTTGGGTTTTTGCATTTGAGATCATTAAGATGTTTAAAAAATAATAATATAAAGTTTCAACATCATATTAATCACGTACAAGCACTTATCGTCTTGGAAAAATCATATCTTTCTTATATGGCGTCAAATTGAGATACTTTCTATATGAAAGTTATAGCCTTCGATGGGGTCTACAAATTTATAGTTTTGAGTTTTGCATTTGAGGTCGTTATATTCGACGCGCGATGTGACTGATTATTAATCGAAAGTCGACTTGGAAATTCAAGTACTACCAAAAAAGGATGAAGATGATTGATTTGTTAGGCTGATAGTAGATAGTTTAGTCACACACTATTACTATTTCACTATATTTTTGTCATCGCTTCGCATAAAAGTTTTATGCAAAGATGGTGAAAAAAAGTTACGCACCAATAGACATCGTTAATTGTAAAATTGGCGAGATCTAATAAACTTACAAATTAAACTATGACCTTAACATATTCCTTTTATCGCTTAGTGTAAGCGTCTCGTCGTATTTTCTTGTACCTAAAAAGGAGTACTTTTCTCTTGAACTAATGGTCAAGCATGTGTGGTACGCACCAGGAAAGATTTTTATGAGACGTTAAGCTCAAGTACATAATTAATATACTGCTAAAACTTTATATTATTGTTTAGCATCTTAATGACCGTAAATGGAAAAATCAGACTATAAAATTGTAGATCTTATCGAACTTGCAGGTGGTGAACTAGACTCAACTCTACCCCAGGAAGCTCAATAATTTATTTGATCTAAATTTCTTTGGGTAGAATTTGAATTGTGAACTCGAGCTTGTCACGTACCGCGGCAGTGCCGTGTGGGAATTTAACTCTGTCCCAGGATTTCGAGTTGGAAGTGAATGGAGGGTCAAATGACTGACCGGACGCTGGTCTGGTTGTGACCAGACGTTGAAGGGTGAGTCCGGTCAGTTCATTTGATCAACTGAAGTCGTCTGGTTGCGACTGAACACTGAGTGAAAAGTGACCGGACGCTGGGTGCCTACGTCCGGTCAACTCCAGAGAGGTTCCAGAGAGAGAGTTTCCTGATCGGACGCGTCCGGTCAGTGTTGACCGGACGCTGGTCAGGATCCGGTAACTGACCGGATGCTGAACAGTGAAGTGATCGGACTCTGGGTGCCAGCGTCCGATCAACATCAGTAAGGTTCCAGAGAGCATTTTTCTTGACCGGATGCAGGTCAGAGTCCGATCAGAACTTAACGGCTCTTTCTGACACAGTGGCGGGGATAACTGACCGGAGCGTCCGGTCACCCCGTAGAGTGATGACTCAGCCTCCAAACGTTATGTTTTGAATGACGGGGTATAAATACTTACTCCTCTCATCCAAAGGAGCTCTCTTGTCCATTTGTTCAGCTGAGAAACACCTTTGAGAGTGTAAAGGATAGCAAGAGCCCAGTGAGGTGATTGAGATTTAAGAATTCAAGATTAAGGCCTCATTAGTGCAAGGAGAGTAGCAAATGTGCATCCATCCCTTCTCATTAGGCTTGTCGTGGTCAAGTGAGAGTTTGTGCTTGTTACTCTTGGTGATCGCCATCACCTAGACGGTTCGGTTGTGATTGAGAGTTCGGTGATCATCCGGCGGAGCTTGTGGATGACCCAACTCAAGTTGTGAGCGGTCGTGGGTGATTCACCGCGACAAAGTGTCGAAAAATCAGCCCGTAGAAAGCACTTGATCCTTGTGCGGATCAAGGGGGAGCTACACCCTTGCGTAGGTGCTCCAACAAGGACTAGTGGGGAGTGACGACTCTCCGATACCTCGGCAAAATATCGCCGCGTTCCTCTCCCTCTCTTTACTTTAAGCATTTACATTTGAGCAATTCATTTCATGTCTTTACATTCCTAGAATTACTATGCTAGAGTAGGATTGGAACTTAGGGTGCAAAACTTTTGTGCGCTATATCAATAGAATCACATTCTAGGCACAAGGGGTGAAGTGGGCTAAGCGTAGGACTTAATTATTACAAAGAATTTAGAATTAGCCCAATTCACCCCCTCTTGGGTATCTTAATCCTTTCAATTGATATCAGAGCCTCATGCTCGCTAAATTAGGCTTAACCGCCTAGAAAAAGATGTCCCATGGAGATGGACCTCCTCCTATCTTTGAGGGAGATGATTTTTCTTATTAGAAAATCCGTATGGAGGCTTATTTAGAAGCTTTAGATGTTGGAATTCTTAGAGCCGCCTCTCAAGGCTTCCCAAAATCTAAGGATTCCATACACCTTCAAGGCGATGAAGTTAATTATGAGAAATGGAATGCAAAGGCTGGAAACACCATCTTTAGAGGCCTTTGCAAAGATATTTTAACCGTGTGCGGAACCAGAAGGACGCCCATGCACTATGATCAGATATTTGTGCGCTCCATGAGGGAACAAAGAGTGAGCGTGAGGAACGTTATCATCTTGTTATAAAAAAGTTTAATTTATTTGAGATGTTTTCTAAAGAAAGTGCTAATGAGATGTACTCATGCTTGAATTTTCTTGTAGAGGAAGTCAATGGGCTAGGACTTATACAAATGCAATCCTTCGATGTTGTAAGAAAAATCTTAAGTGTCCTCGCCATTGATAAATATGGGCATATTGTGATCGTGCTTCATCAAGGTGATCTTTCCACCGCTACACTAACTCAAATATTGGGAAAGATCAATGCACATGAGATGCATATGCACATCACACCACAAGATGGCTCTTTTTCCACCAAGAAGAAAGACTTGGCATTCAAGGCTAGCCAAGAGAAGAAGGGCAAAGCAAGAGTTGAACATGAGAGCTCAAGTGATGATGAAATTGATGATGTAAGTCTTGCTCTCATGGTGAAAAGAACCGCCAAGATGCTTAAGAAGCTCAACAAGAACGGTGTCAAGTTTGATGGCAAGAAGAAAAAGTTCTTTACTAGTAATAGAAGGAAGCCAATCTCCGAGATGGATTTCTATAATTGTGGAAAACTTGGTCATCTAGCTCATCAATGCCCTAAGTCCAAGAAAGACAAGTATAAGAAGAAGTACAAGGGCAAGAAAGATGACTCAAGTGATGAAGATGATGATGAAAAGAAGAAAAATAAGCCATACAAGAAGAAGGATTTCCACCAGAAAAAAGAAAAATGGCAAGGCATACATCGTTGGTGATTGGCTCACGGATATTGATTCATCAAGTTGCTCATCCAATGATGAAAGTGAGAATAAGAAGGTGGCCGCTATTGTAATTGACTCTTCACTATCTTCATCGACACCACCGTCGTCATCCTCTACACACCTATGCCTTATGACCAAGGGTGAACGAAAGATACAAAATGATGATGATAGTAGTGGTGATGATCATGCTAGCAATGATGATAGTGATAGTGATGATGAATTTGAATCACCTTCTTATGATGATCTTGTCAAGTTGTTAAATCAATATACTAAAATCATTAGAAAGACAAGAGCTAAAAATGAAAAGCTAGAACTTGAGAATGACTCACTCTTAGCTAAATATGATATAGCGGAAAAAGCTAGTGTTGAGCTTAGAGAAGAAAATAAAACTATGTCATCCAAACTCAAGGAGCTCAAATCCTCTAAAAAGGAGCTTAAAGAAAAACATGATAAACTTGAGAGGATACATAATGAGCTCACCATTAGCTACAATTTGCTAAAAGAAGAGTATACCAATCTCAAAGTTAATCATAATAATCTTGTTGTCTATCATGAGTTATTATCCAATGAGCCACATGATGCTACTAATCATGTTGTTAAGATTGATATAGCTACATCATGTGATGATTTGATTGTTGAGATCATTGAGCAAGGTTCTAGTAGCAAAGTCAAGCAAGTGGTTGAGTCCGACAACTATGATGAGTATGTCAAGATCAAGAATGAAAATGAGAAGCTTAAGAAAGATCTTGAAAAACTATCAACCAACAACACAATTATGATAGAGAACCATGACCATGATTGTGATATACCTCTTGAGAATGAGAACCTCAAAGAAGAGAACAAAAGACTCAAGATGGAGAAAAATTATGATGAACTTAAAGAAGAGAACAAGAAGCTCAAGTTGGAGAAAGAACATCTCAAGACCGGCTTGAGCAAGTTCACAAGAGGCCAATATCTCTAAAGTGAGCTACTCATAAACACCGTCATGAAAGATGGATAGAAGTGGCATTGGGTATTTGGCAA